AGGAGAGAGAGTGAGAGAAAAAAGAAAGAAAAGGCTGGGGATATAGCTCAGTAGTATTAGAGGACCCGTGTTCTATCCCCAATACCAAAAATAAAACAAAAGAACAACAAAAACACCCAAAAAGTGTGTCCTAGTTTTCCCGAGGAGCTGCCCCCTCCTCCACCATTCAGTTCATGTTGTTTAGCTAGGGTTGGTCTTTCCCTAAGATCCCGGAATTCATAACTATGGAATCACAGCCTACAGTGATTTATTCAAAACTAAGCAAGTAATTTCACCAGAACAAAGGAGGCTCATCGCTGGGAGTTTGTTGGGACTGCTGGGAGAAGAGGAACACTTTCTCCTGGGAGGGTTAGGAATGGCTAAAATGTAAGGACCCGGGACTAGAGTTGCAGGTGACCATTTTGCCACACAAGGAAAGAATTGCTCTAAAAACAAAACCACTCAGAGGGCTACAGAAAGATATAGAAGAGACTAAATTCTGATCATTATTTGAGTCCTGGATCCAGCCATTCCCGAAAGCCCCTGCACCTCTAATTTGCTAAGTAATTGGGGCCAATTAATTTCTTCTTTTGCTTAAGTTATTTCGTACTGTTCTTGATGGAAAGTGTCCATGAGGGGCCCCTGCTGGTGATTTTAGGAATGGGATTCTGGAACTGAGATTTGAAAGTCCTGGGGATCTTTAAGTCAAAAGCAAACCATCTGGCTCAAAATCAGTGCATCCAGAAAGCCATGTGTGTGAAAAGAACCACACGTACAGAGAACTTCATTCTTATAGACTCTCAGTCTGTGTCAAATGACTCTGGACAAGTGTGTGTAACCTTGACTAAATCACAGAGGCAGTCAAAACCATCCCATGGAAGATAAGCTGCTGTGAACTTAATAAATTACTAACAGAAATGGTTTAATGAATAATAATTTGGCTAATTGGTTATTTTGCAAGTGGGTCTTTCAAGAATTAATGATCAATTTAATTGGCTTTCGGGGAATTGTTGTTGGCTCCTTTGAACCAAAGTTCAAAATGCTGAAAGTCCTCCAGCATCTCAGATTCCAGAGCGCTAAGACTGGGCCTGGGAGTCTGTGTCTGGTCATGAAGGAGGCTGGGTGGAAGGAGGTGGGAGGCCCCATACCTGTTTGATTGAGCTCCATTAGGGAGTCATCCAGCAGCTTCTCATGGATCCAGGCAGTCATCTGGGGAGAAGAGGGCTCAGTCCAGCTGGAGTCCCCTGCCCCCATCACTGGAGCACCCTGGGCCTGCCTGTTTCCCAGTCCACACCACTTGATACCTCCTGCTTCACTTTCTCTTCATCTCTGAGCAGGGCCATCTGGAAGTTATCCACCAGAACAGCGGTCAACAGGCTGGGCGAGGGGACAATGAGATGCACTTAAGGAGGATGCTGGAGGAGAGGTCCCAGCACCCTCTGGAGTTCATTGTGGCATGACAGGGTTCCCAGGGGCTGGATATGGAAAAAGGGTGGAGGCCGGGCAGCAGAGCAGGGTCCTCACTTGAGGAAGATGATGTTTTGGATGAAGATGTAAATCATGAGAATGGGGATGATGTACCAGGCACCTGGGAGAGGGCAGAGAGGTGGTCAGCCAGGCAGCCGTCTCCCGTCCCCACCTCACCCCTGCCCCACATCACAGGTGGGGTGGGGTCTCTGAGTCCCTCCCCTCAGCCCACCCTGGGCCCGGCTGTCCATGTAGATGAGGGACCAGTCATCCAACGTGAGCACGGTGAAGAGAGTGAACATGGTGGTGAAGAAGTTCTCAAAACGCCAGGGATCTGATCTTCGGAACAGTGTCAGGATCATAGAGAAGAACACTGGCTGTTCAGGAACAAACCAGGTTCCAGTCCCCTGCCCCTGTCCCCCTCTCCTGGGCCTATCCCTGCGCCCCGCCCCCCATCCCAGCCCCATGGCACAGGATACGGAGGCAGGAAAATATGAGGATGAAGATAGTTATGATGGACAGCAAGGAGCCGACCAGGGTACCTGTTACTTCTTTGAGGCTGGTCAGGATTCTGTGAGTAAAGGTAGATAGGAGACTAAATCAGGGTGGGCTGGGTAAGGGTCTGTGCCCAGCAGGGGTGGGGGTGGGGTGGTGTCCTTGATTTGCCAGGTGACTTGGGTGAGTCCTGGCACTTCTCTGGAACATAAAGAGATGGATCATGATGACAGATCCCAGAGGAACACTTTCCCCCTTGAGCAGGTCACAGTGGATCCTTTGGGAACCCAAGCCTGTGTCCCCTCTTCCTTTGACCTCCCCACACCAGAACAAGCAGCCATGACCACGCAGACCTGAGCCTCCGTACGATCCGGATGGCCCTCAAAGCCCGCATGATCTTTAAGACCTTGAGAATCCGAAAGAGGCTGTGGTTGTAGAAGGAAAAGAGGGAGTTGACTTGCATAAGCAAGAAGTCCAGCACGGCCATGACCACGACGAAGAAATCTGAGGGTAGAGGGTGCCTGAGCAGGGATGGGACTGGTGGCCCTAGGCCCAGACCCATAGGCTCCCAGCACCAACACCCAATCCCTGCCCTCTTCCATCCTTAGCTCCCCCGGGACAGTTTGGTGCAAACCACCTCAACCCCATTCCCACCCACCTAGATTGTTCCAGGGATCATAAAAATACTGCAGGCCCAGGGAAATGATCTTGAGCAGGGCTTCTATTATGTAGATGCTGAGGAAAATGCAGTCGAAGGCCATGAAGTACCACTCTGTGGGGACACCAGGAGCTCACTCAGGACCACCACCACTACTGAGGACCTCCCCCTCACCAGAGACCTCACACAAGCCCAAATACCTAGACTCTCCCTGGTTCTGCCCCAAATGGCTGTGTGACTCAACTGCTCTGACCTCAGTTTTCTTGTCTGCAAAATGAGTATAATAACAGTCCATTTGACAAAGTGAGCTTTAAATGTATTTAAACACTTTTAAAGCCTTTTACTTGGGTGAGTCCTGGCTTAGCAGAGATTCTGGAACAATAAGTATGTGACAAGTCCTTTCCTTCATCCGAACCCACTGTATTTTAGTACCAGCTTCTCCTGGCTTTCTACTCTCACCCTTCCTGGGTCTCCTTCTCTGGGTTCCCTGACCATTTTAACAAACCAAGGGTTCTTGGTACCTGTTCCACCGTCAGGAGCATATTTAGAGCTGATGCGCTACCTGGTGGCTGATTGTGAACAGCACAGCCTCCAGTCCAGGGTGGGTCTCTGGCTGAACTCTCAATACTTCTCCCTGGCTAATCTCTACTGACACTGGCCAATGTCATCAACTTCCAGAAGTGAAGATCAAGTGAACCAAGTTATATAAATCTCCTGGCATGGGATCAGGACAAAGGAGGCCCTAGAGCCACATCAGGGGCCCCTGGCTCTTACCACCCCTGATCTTGACTTCTGCAAAGGTCTGGGCCATAAGCATGATGATATTGAGAAAGACGATGAGGAAGATGAAGGTTTCAAAGACCAGGGACTGTGTCAGACTCCTGATAATTGTCCAGGGGCCCCAAAGGAGGGTTCTTAATTTCTCACTCAACCGTTGGAAGATGTTCATAGCGTGCTTCTTGTGGGCCCGCTGGGCTCGGCCCCCTGTAAAGTGGTCAGAAAGTCACGTCTGTGCAGATGGAAAGTGGGGGACCCTCAGGCACCCTCAAAGACTGGATCAGGGCTCATTATCATCCCTGGCTGCTGGCCACTATCTAATATACCTCTGTACTAGTGCTGGTGGTAGTCCTAGTGCTTGGGGCCAATCCTGACCTCTTCCATCCCAGGGGCCAACTTGTTTAAGATCTAGAGTTAGCCTGAATGGATCATGAGGACTCCTTCCCCTACACCTCCATGTCATTTTTCTCCACATGGCAACTTATTTATGAAAAACCCAACCCTCCTCACTACTCCATCCTCATGGTGCACTCTCACTTTCCCTGTAAGATCCTGCTGAAGCTTCCCTCCTCCTGGCTGCTCTTTCTGTGCACATCCAATAAGACATTTACTCCTCTTTGCTTGTTCATGAGCTGGTTGCCATGTTTATTGAACTCCTAGGAGGCAATTCTGGGAGATTGTTAGTTAACAGCCAAGGTCCTTCCCTGCTCTCAGATAAGGCCCTCATTCAGGAACTAGTTCCCATGTCTGCCCTTAGCAGCTCACAGTTTAGTGGGGGAAATGTGGACACATAGAATCCACAGAAGCAAATATTCTGACATAGAAAATGACAGGCCCCATCACTGGATGGCTCGTGATTAGTTAAGTGACCCCTCTCTGACTAAGGATTGTGCTGGATTTTCCCACAGACAGTCAGGACTCAGGCAGGCCAGGGCACCCATGTTTGACAAGAGCCTCAATATTTGAGAAGCAGGAGCCAGGGATTTAGCTCAGTGGTTCCAGCCCCTGCCTTGCAAACACAAGGTCCTGAGTTCGATCCCCAGTACTGCCCCCCCCCAAAAAATTGAGAAACAAATGTAAGCGTGAAGAATAAACGAAGAAACATCTCATGGTGTGCAGAGGTACATAATTCAAGGAATAAAGGATGGGCTGAGGAACAGTGGGAGAGTGAAGAGCTGATAGAATATACTCATGCCAGCTGGGCCAGGCCTCCAGATCTGTAGGAGGTTAGTGCAGAGCTTGGGCTAGATCTGCATGAATTTGGGTGGGGAAGTGGGAGTTGGGCTTTGGAGACCCAGAAAAGACTCACTTTTTTGTCTCTGATATTGCTTATCTTCAGACCAGCTTTCTGAGTCTTTAGAGGAAGTGTCCTGAGGATGAACTTTGTTGGAGGCCAGAGAGCCACGTGAGCGAGCTCCAGTGTAGGACTGCTTGCTGTGGGGCAAGCTCTTGGTGAGCTCTAGATGAGGAGTGGAGTCAGTTATGCTGTGGGGCTTGTGTGGGACAAAATGTTGAGAGCTGCTCCTGCGGTAGTCCCTGTAAGAATTGCTGTGGAGATGATCATAACGATGTGCACTGTGGTGATGCTCCTGGTGGTGATGCTCCCGGTGATGGTGGTGCTCACCATGGTGGTGCTCTCCATGGTGGTGGTGCTCACCATGGTGGTGATCTCCATGGTGATGGTGCTCACCATGGTGGTCCTCACTGGAGCGGTGATTGCCATGATAACTTTCCCCGTGGAAGTAAGGTGTGCCATGGTGGTAGGACTCCTCAGAGGGATGTTTGAGAAGTCTCTCTCCATGATGAAGATGCTTTCTGTGATGGTGGGACTCATGAGGATGGAGTCTGTTGTGTTGGTGGGGTTCATGATGCTGGGACCCACTATAGTGGTAGTCCTCACTGTGATGGTAGGGTCCACCAGAGTGGTAGGAATCTTCATGGCGGTAAGAGGGACTTTGGTGATGGATCCCACCATGGTGGCCATACTCACCGGGGTGTGGTAACACACCAGGTAAATGGAATCTACTAAGGTAGGAAGTCTCACCATGTTGGTAGGACACACCAGAGGATTGGTGGTGTTGATGCCCACCATAGTAGTGATGCCTGCCATGGTGGTGGGGCCCACCATGGTGGTCTGACTCAGTGTGGTGGTGGGGCCCATCGTGGTGGTATGACTCAGTGTGGTGGTGGGGCCCACCATGGTGACCCCCAACATGGTGGTATAACTCAGTATGGTGATGAGACCCACCATGTTGTATCGTACTACCATAATGGTGTTCATCATCAAAGTGGTCTTCACCATAAGAATGGTGGGAATGGATAATGGCAGAGGAGTGAGCCCAACCAAGGCATGTGGGATGGTGGGATCTGTCATGAGGATGAGCCTTACCATGATGGGAATGGGGAAAAGCACTTTCATGGAAGTCTTGATGGGATTCTCTGTGATGCTGGGACTCACCATGGTGATGGCCTCCTCTGAGGTGAAGGGACTCATAAGGATGGTGGGGTCTGTCATGTTCTGGCCTGTGGTGTAGGAGTGATGAGTAGGATTGAGAGAGTATATCCAAGTTGTTGGTGTTGTGCTCATTTTGAGCCTGTTCAGTCATCGAGGGTTCACCCATCACTTTGCTGGGAACCCTGGAAGGAAGAGAACTTAAGAATTGGCCCGTTTCTAGGTTTCCCTTCTCTCCTAAGCTAGGTCAATGGCAACTGTGTGGTTCTTGGAACTCTTCCTCTCTGTGATGTCACCAGCAAGCTGATGGATATAGTTATCCCATTTTACAGATGGGGGCGGCGGGGGGGGGTGACTCTGAGAGTATAAGTGAGTTGCTCTAGGAATAAAAGCTTAAAATCAGTACCAACTCCAAAGTCTCTACTTGTGACTATGGGCTGGCTTGTCTTCCTCCTGAAATCTACTGTAGAGTTTATCCTACACACTCAACTCACTTGTGCACAGCACAGTTCTGGAAAAGTCTAGGTTTCTCCTTTGACTACAGCTTCTTCCTTAGTGCTTGGTCCCAGCCAAGTCCATAGTGGCACAGGGCACTGGCTTCCCAGGGATGGAGGAAACACAGTCCTTCTCCTCAAAGAGCTTCCTCTCTGGTGCCCGAAGCAGATAAGACAGTTTGTGATAGGATCACTTGTTGTCCCACAAACCTCTTCTTCCTGAGCACAGAGACTCCCACCTAAGTGCGTCTTTTTTCTTTTTTGTAGTGCTAGGGACGGAACCTAGGACTTCGTGCATGATAGGGAAACACTCTATAACTTTGCACTAAGCTACATTCCCCCATCCTTTTCTATTTTTTACTTTAATATTATACTGGATCTTGGACAAAAGGCCAAGAAGATATTATTATTATTTTAAAATTTTATTTATTTATTTTTTGGTACTTGGGATCAAACTCAGGACCTTGCACTTGCAAGGCAGGCGTTGGCACCACTGAGCTAAATCTCCTGCCCAGATATTATTATTTTTTTATTTTAAGATAGGGTCTTGCTAAGTTGTCCAAGCTGGGCTCAAACTTGTGATCCTCCTGGCTCAGCTTCCTAGAGTGCCAGGAATAGAAGTGTGAGCCACCATGCCCAGCTCTAGAGCATCTCTTACATGTAGCTGTGGCTAAACAGCAGGAGCAACCCTTGGGTCTTGGGTTTTAATCACTAAGCATGTAAACTTCTGACTCCTCTTCCTGCTGCCTGGCACATGGATGCCACAAACAGTTGGGCAGGGTTTCACCTAGGCTTCTGCAGAACTATGGAATCCCTGGAGACATTGCTAGGCCAGGTGTTCTGCATTGCGATGAAAAACAAAAGCCTTGTGTTTGAACTTCGTTGATCACAAGATGTAGCACTTTCTGTGAAGGACAGTCATCAAGCCACCTCCAAAACCATTTGTTAGAGGTCACACAGCCCTATGTGGCAGCAAACAGTGGGATTAAACTCAGTCTGTTGAGTTCTTTCTCCATTTTAATGTGAAGTCAGAAAGTCTGTGGATCATTTGTGAACCTGCAGAAAAGATGAATCCATAGCCTCTAAGCATCCTCCCAACCTCTCTTTATGCACCCACCACTGACTTATGGGAACAAGCAAATTCTACAAGTGTGGTAGAACAATCAGAGGCAAATTTCCTTCTAAAGAAACTAATTTTTCATGATGTGACTCAGTCATTTCCCTGCTGTTTTGCAGTTGATGTCACCACAATACAACACAAATTGTGCAGGAGTGAATTGTATTGTGAAGATTTCATAATTTTTAATTATCTTTTTCAATTTTTTATTACCTTTTATTATTCTTATCCTTTATTATTTTTATTATCTTTACTTTTAAAATGA